TCACTTAAATAAAGATTCAGTTGAATTTTTTCCATATTAATTCATTCGCTATAATTATTTCTTTAGTCTTCGGCCTATTAAAGAATGTTTGCACACTGAGTTATTTCGAAATAATTTTGAATGCAATATTACTATTATTATTATTATTATCAAAAATTTAGCTGCAAATAATATGATTTTTCTCTGTTTTAAATTTCAATAATGAAATATTCGGTGAAGCATAAAATGAAACGATTAGTAGAAAGCATTTAGTGAATACATTTATAAAAGCAAAAATTGTTCATCATTTGTAAGTGACACTTTTTTCATTTTTCCGTTCTTTTCATTTTTTTTATTGTTTTTAAAAAAAGAAATTAAATGTTTGAAAGAGAGTGAACAAAAAATGGAGAGAAAGAGAGAAGAAAAGAAAGAAATGAATCATTCAATCATTTTAAAATATTACATAAAACTAAAAAACGATACAATTTGAAACAACTTTCTTTCTTCCTTTCTTTCTTTCTTTTTCTCTTTCTCTCTTTCTTTTTTTCTGGATAAAAAAATACGGAAAAAAGTTAAAAGGGTTGAAATTTCAGGAAGTTTCAAAGATGGCATTAAAAAAAGAAAGAGGAAGGAATAAATAAGGGAGAGAGAGAGAGAGAGAGAGAGAGAGAGAGGGAGAGAGGGAGAGAGAGAGGAAGCTAATAAAAGTATGCTATAAATCATTTTTAACTGAGCTTAGTTACTTATTTACTATCGTTTTTCATTTTTTTAACGAAAAAAAGTTTACAAAAAGAAATAAAGGGAAGAATTTTTCAATTTTTCTTTTTTAGGTTAAGTTTTAATGAAATTATGCAAAAACAATTGAATTTGAATAAATACTATAATTAATTGAGATGAGTTATTTGAAATTTCTTCTAATTTAATTTTTTCTTTTTTGGGTTAAAATTTAATGAAATTAAGCAAAAACAATTGAGACAATAGTTTTTTGTATAGTTACTATAATTAATTGAAATGAGTTATTTGAATTTTGTTTTAATTTAATTATTCAAATTTTTCCATTTACAATTTCTTTTTTTCAATTGCTTCCAAATTTTTGCAATTTTAAAAATCAACGAATCAAAATTGTTGCAAAAGAAAATGAACAAAATAAATTTAAAAATAAGAAATTGAAATTTGAAAATTTTTACTATTACACGTTTTGTTTATTGACAAAAAGAAATTGATAAATCTTATTAGACTCTTATAGGAATTTTCTAGCCAAAAGATTCAAGATTTTCCATGAGAAATTATTTTTCGTTTAATGTTTTTGATATTTTCAAACGATTGAAGTCATTCAAATTTCTTCTAAGAATATTTTCTACAAGCAGCAATACTTATCTGAATTATTTGCTTTTATAAATAAATTGAAGATAGAAATGATTGAAAGATTTGTTGAGGAAAAAAGTTGCGAAGAATTGAAATGCTGAAAATGAGAAGAAAAAGAATTTTATTTGAAGAAATTAATTAAAAAAGAAAAATCAAAAATAATATAAATAAATGAAATAAAATGAATATACTAATCGTAGCGGTAAAAATATTATAGAGCAGAGATTGAGAGAATTACAAAATAAGCATGCTTGTTAATGTTAACAGTGATTGAGAGCATATTTGATTATCAGATGTTAAACAAAAATTTTTTTGATTAAAATTCATATGAATTCAATAAAGCCATAAATTTAGGTAAATAATAGCAGTTTTTCTATTTCATCGATTCATTTTTAATGGATTTATGAAAAATGATATTATATAGCAGAGATTGAGAGAATTACAAAATAAGCATGCTTGTTAATGTTAACAGTGATTGAAAGTATATTTGATTATCAGATGTTAAACAAAAATTTTTTTGATTAAAATTCATATGAATTCAATAAAGCCATAAATTTAGGTAAATGATGGCAGTTTTTCTATTTCATCGATTTATTTCAAACAGGATTAGTTGAACAATCAATTTAATGAATGAGTAAATGTTACTTCAATCCATTTTAAAATATTTCATAAATTTTGCCAAATATTTTTTTGTAAATTTTAATTTTCAATTTGTTTCATTTTTTTGAATTAAAAAGAACCGAAATCCGCGATAGTTCTCATTCTTTCGCTTATAGTTTTATTTTAGGAAGTATACGGTAGGATAAACTGTTAGCTAATAAATTTTAAATTTTAATCCATTTGACAAAATTAGCCTACGATTATGCAATGGGTATGTTAGCATATATTCTACAGGAGAAAAAAATGTACTTTTTGATATTACATTTTTTTTCGTTGAAAAACTTTCCGTAAAAATTTATTTCTCTTTAAAAAAGTCTACATCAAATGAACTGAAATTTTTATGAATGAATTATGATAAAATTAAAAGCTGTCAACAATCTTCTGAAATGTTGTATTTAGCAATTTTATAAATTTTACCTAAAAATTTCAAAGAAAAAAAAATATGTAAATTTTTCAATATTTTCAAAGTGAAAAAATGGAAGGAATAAAAGATATGTTAAATTAATTAATTATTTTTAAATTTTTAAATCATCCATTTTCCTCTTATTTGTATTATTTTATAATTAAATTTCAAATAATAATAAAATATAAATTAATAGCAAATAAAATTTGGAAAAAAAAATTTTCGGAAAAAATTCAATTTTAACATATTATGTTTTGTAATATTTTAATTTATATTATCCTATATATAAAATTATTATTATAAATTATTAGAAAATTCAACTTTAACATATCATTTTTTGTCTTATTTTATTTTATATTATGCTATATATGAAATTTAAAAGGGAAAATTCATTTTTAACATTTTTCTTCATTTTAATTCTTCTCTTTTGTTTATTTTTGATTTATATATAGTTATATATAAAATTATTAGTATAAACTAATAGTAAATAAAATTTAGAGTTTTCAAAATTCAATTTAACATATCATTTTTTGTTTTATTTTAATTTATATTATTTTATACACAAAATTTAGAGAGGAAAATTCATTTCTAACATTTTGTTTATTTTAATTTATATAAAGTTATAATTTTTAATTTCAGTAGAGCGAAAAATGAAATGGACTTTTTTTGCCTCTTTATTTTTCATTTTTTGTTTTGCAATTACAATACGATGAAAATTGTTGAATAGCTTAGTATATGCTATTTTAGTTAGTGGCAGCTGTCTTTTCATTTTTCCAAATTATGACATGCTTCAATGAATTTTAAATATATAAACAAAAGAGAAAGCCAAAAAAAACAATAACCGAACCAAACAAATCAAACTAAAATTATGCATTTCGTTGCTAAGGCAAAAAAAAAAGTTTAAAGCCTAAAATAAGTAATTTATTATAAGACAATAGAGTAACAGGGGAAGGGTGGGAAGAAAATCAAATTTCTATGAACAAAAAAAAAGAATAAAAGTAAATAAATAAATAAACTTTTTAACTAATTAAATCTTTAATTATTATATTTTATTTATTTTACTGCAAAATTATTTTATATTACAAAAAGAAAAAAGTAAATAAATAAATAAATAATTTTTTAATTAATTAAATTTTTAATTATTACTTTTTATTTATTTTACTGCAAAATTATTTATGACACTATTTGCAATTTATATTCAATTTATGAAAACAATAAATGCACTTGATAAAATATTCATGTGATATTTTAATCAGGTAATTATTAATTATAGCTAATTGGTCTGGAAGGTATTCCTGTGTATACATATTTTCTTCTCAATGATCAACATTGGCATTTTGGTCGATTTCTTTGTGATTTATGGTTAATGATCGATTATGTTGTTTGCCTCGCATCAATATATACCGTACTTGGTATTACAATCGATAGGTAATAGAATTAAATGAAATTAACTTATATTTGATTAATTTTAATACGAATAATTATTCATATTTTATATTGTATATTAATTACTCAAACAATAAACAACAACATTTTGTCAGTAAAAACAAAAGGAATAAAAGAAATTTATATTTCTAAATATTAGTTAAATTTCTATTTTAGTTATTAATTTATCGAGTACAATAAAAAAATTACGATATAAATTATTGTTAAACTATTTAGACTTACGATATAAATTATTGCTAATATATTTAGACTATTTAATTTAGCGTAATTTTAGTTAAGCTATTTAATTTCTTGATAGACTATTTAATTTGGTATATTTTTAGGTATTGCTCAGTAAAGTATCCTGCAGCTTATCGAAACTGGAGGACACCAAAACGTGTCATTTTCACTGTAGGAATTATATGGCTGGTAATTATTGTTTTCTTTGATTGGAAAATATTGCTCCACTTATAGTTTATAAAATTAAGTGTTTTATTAACTACTATTTAATTACTAATATTATATTCGAATTAATGATATTTTTTAGATTCCAACAATATTATTTGGCTTATCAATATTTGGTTACGATAAATTTACGGGTAAACGAATGTTGAAAGATGATGAATGCTATGTACAATTTATGACAAATCCAATTTTAAATATGGGAATGTATATTTCATATTATTGGTCAACATTATTTGTTATGTTATATTTATATTGGGGAATATATCGAGCGGCGAAGTTATTAGCAACTAAAAGTGAACAGGTAAATTAAATCGTTTAATAAAAAATTTTTAATCACTTTTTTCTTTTCTTCTTTTCCAATTCAAATTTATTCCTAAAATTATTTTAATTGTTTTTCTTTTCTTTTGCTTTGTTTTAACCATTTTTTTTAATTTAATTTAATTTCTTTTTTATCAAAATGGAAATAATTAAAAAGAAAAAGGATTATGATATGATAATTTTAGAAAAATAAACGATTAGCAATGTTAAATGAAATGAGAAAGCATGCGAAACATGAAACAATTTCGTTAATAGCATATAAAAGTAGCGAACAGGAAAGTCAACCGGAAGCTTCATCATCACATTCAAGGTTATTTATTTATTCTTTACTCTATGATGAATATCTTTCTTTATATTCATTCATTTTCCAATTTAGTTTTCTTCCGGAATTCGAAGAATAAAAGAGATTTGAATTATCACGAAATAAATTCTTCAATTCACATTATTACACTTAAGATTCATTTATTGTTTATTTTATGATTTCAGAATTATCATTTTCTTTCTTTTGTATTTATTCATTTCCTAATTTAGTTATCATTTCTTCCGGAATATCAAAAAAAGAGATTTGAAATATCACAAAATAAATTCTTCAATTCACATTACTACATTAGAATTCATTTATTGTTTACTTTATGATTTCAGGATTATCGTTTGCCTTCTTTTGTATTTATTCATTTCCTAAATTAGCTAGCATTTCTTCCGGAATTCAAAGGAAAAAAAGAAAAAGAAAAGATTATCATTTGTCTGGAAATTTTTCGAAAACTAATTCTTTTAATACACAACAATAATAAATTACTTATTTAATATATTTACTAATAAAATCATTTTCAAATGTTCTCGACCGGAATGAATGAATCCTTTTTACTTTCCTTTTAATACACAACAATAATAAGTTATTTAATATATTTACTAATAAAATCATTTTCAAATGTTCTCAACCGGAATGAATGAATCCTTTTCCATTTCACATTATTCCTTATTCCTTCGCAAGAATGAAATAATCAAATTTTCATCGCTCTTCGTTTTTCGATTTTTTTTTAAACTTTCTCCTATCCTTTCACTTCTTTTCTTTCTCCCTCATTTTATACAAATATAATACTTTTCCTATTTATTTGAAAATTTCAAAATTCCCTCATCAATGATCATCCTAAATTGCCTTTTATTGATTTTTCGGAAAGACTGTCAAATGAAATTTGGTATTAAATTTTCAATTTTTTTTCTATTCTTTTTTGCTTTGTAAAACAAGAAAAAAGTTTTGCAAGAAGTGAAATTTTACGATTTTATTAAACTTGCAAAAGAAAATTTTCATTATGAAAAATAAAATTATTAGCATGTACACATACACGTACATATGCGTGCATAAAACACATCCGTACACGTACCCACACAGGCGATTTTAAGATACACATATATTTATGCCTATTTATAGATATAAATATATATTCACACGTATGCATGCACAAAACACGTACCCACACATGCGACTGAAGATATATTTATACCTATGTATATAGATATAAATGCATATTCACACGTATGCATGCTCAAAACACGTACCCACACATGCGACTGAAATATTTATACCTATGTATCGATATAAATACATATTCACACGTATGCATGCACAAAACACGTACCCACACATGCGACTGAAGATATATTTATACCTATGTATATAGATATAAATACATATTCACACGTATGCATGCACAAAACACGTACTCACACATGCGAATGAAGATATATTTATAGATATATATTCACACGTATGCATGCACAAAACACGTACCCGCGCAGTACCCGCACATGCAACTGAAGATACATACACATATATATATTTATATATCGATTAGATACGTGCATAAATTTTTGAATATAATTTAAAAGGAAAAAAAAGGTAAGCACTAAGGAAAATAATAAAAAGAATAAGTAAAATCACAGAGAGAAAGGGAAGAAAACAAATTTCTGAATTATTTATTCTTCTCTTTTAAAATGAGAGAGAAAATTATTGGCTTATAAAATTGTTAAATAAAAATTGAAGTTATTTCCTCTTCAAAAATTCTTACAAAATTCTGTCATTTATCCTCTTCAAAAGTTCATACAAAAATACTTTAACATATTAAGCTATTTTATAGTATACAACTTTACATTTCTGCAGCTTATAATAATTAACAGCTTTGCAATTTATAATTTATTACTGTAATAACAAATATATATATTTAATATAAAACATTTTTGAAAATATTTTCATAAAAAAACGATATTATAAAATGTATTAAATTCAAACATTTCAAATGATAATTGTAATATCAATTGTTTTGCTATAATTCACAATTATACAATAAATATTTTTCATTATCGTATGATAGGATGAAGAAAAAGACATGGAGTTGCTTCTTGACACCTCAAAATTGTTAGCAATTTTGTTAAGCTTAATTATAATACACAAGAATTCGAGGGAATATATTTAACATCAATGTTATTCGTTTGTTTTCTGTATTGAAGTGATTGCTAAAAATTTTTCATTTTAAATAATATCCTTTCATTTTATGATTTTAAAAGGAATTGAAAAAAAAAGATTAAATATTTTTTTATAAACTGATATATATTTATCATGAAATTTCATCCAAAATTTCTTTTCCTTCTTTCAATTATGCAAAAAAGACAAACGAATGAAATTACATGACATAAAATAAAAAGGGAAAGACCTAAAATTCATAGAAACAAAAGTGAAAGACCTAAAACTCATAGAAGCAAAAGAGAAAGACCTAAAATTCATAGAAACAAAAGTGAAAGACCTAAAACTCATAGAAGCAAAAGGGAAAGACCTAAAATTCATAGAAACAGAAGTGAAAGACCTAAAACTCATAGAAGCAAAAGGGAAAGACCTAAAATTTATAGAAACAAAAGGGAAAAATCTAAAATTCACAGATACTAAAAGGGAAAGACCTAAAATTCATGGGTACCAAAAGGGAAAGACCTAAAATTCATGGGTACAAAAGGGAAAGACCTAAAATTAAAATGATTTGCTTTCCATTTAATTTATGTAATAAATTTATTATAACAATAACAGCAACAAAAGATAGACTAAATTAAAATGAAAGTTTTGCATTTTTTTTTTGTTTTATACAAATGAATTGAATTTAAATAAATCGAATTTAAATCTATTAGTGTAGAAAAATTGAATAATATTTCATTAGTCAGTAAAACTAACATTTCTTTTTCTTTCTTTTCATTTTTATTTTTATATTTTTTCTTCAATTTAATTCACACATCCCAAAATACAGTAATTTTTATTAAAAAGAACAAAACTGTCAAGAATTATTCGAATGATATCAAAATGTTATATAAAATATATTGAACTTATATAAATGGCATAACATAAATCATATATAATATAAATATAAATCATATATAATAATATAAAAATCATATAATTTAAAAATTATATAAAATAATATAAATCATAATGTTATAAAACATATTAGATAAATGGCATAATATAAAGATAGTAGCATTTATATTTGATGTTATGAATTATTGTATATAAATTTAAATAATGCTAATATAATCATAATTATTATAAATTTAAAATTATTTATTTTTATCAAATTAATTTTATATATATTTAAAAATTGTCGAAAATTGTATAATTGAAGAAAACTTTAAATATATTTTATATTTTCATATATTTGAAAATGATTGTGTTATTTGATTATCCTTTACTTATAATAGACTATTAAGACTTATACACACGCATAATATGTGCGTACGCACATATTGACTTAATTATATTATACGTACGTGTCATTTCAGAAATGTGGTAACAGTGAATTCTCAGCAACTTTCAATAGCTCCTAAAAAGCAATTACTTCATCAAAGCAATAATAACAATAATGTTCATTCGGTTGGAACAGCAATTTCAAATGCAAATACTACTACTACTTCTGAAATAAATACCCCTATAATAATAACTTTAGTATCAAAGAAAAGGTTAGTTATGCTTTTGAAATATTTTTTTGAAATTGTTCGTATTGTAATTTCTATTTTAAACTAATGCTTGTTAATGATAAGGTTAGTGATGAGATTATTTCAGCAAAAAATTTTCGCTGTCTTGAAAGTTTGAATATTAAATGATATTTCAACTGACTTTGTAATACGGGAATATAATGTTATATATCTAGTATCATGGCATAAGAAAAGTGTGAGAATAGGATGTTACAGTATCATGGCATAAGGATACTGTGAAAGTATGATGTTAAAATATCATAGCACAAGGGCAATGTGAGAGAATGATGTTGCAATATCATGTCATAAGGATACTGTGAGAGCATAATAGTACTGTATCTCGTGCGACGACACCAGAATACGATGAAAATGTAATGTTATAATATTATGATGTAAGGATTGAGAGTATAATGTCGTAGTATTAAGATATAATGATAGTATGAGAGTATAATGTTACAGTATCAAGGGTGAATCAAAGAACAGCAGAGGACTTTCGATCAAAAGGCCCCTATCGCTTCTTTCAAATTTGAGGAATGCTCAAGTAGATTGCATTAATGATGAAATTATGCCTAACGAAGAAAAAGCTTTATGTCATTTGTAAGTTTTCCCATTTTATATTCATTAATTTTTATTAGAATTTTTTGCGTATAATTTAAATGAAATTTTGAATTTTCAAAATTTTATTTTTATCAAATAATCAATCAAATTCAATTGCTGTTAACGATAAAAATTTCCCTTTTATTATCAGTGAACTAAGCTCAAAAGTAAGCACTATTATGGAACGTGAAAGTACAGCACCCTATGTATCACCGGAAATTTCGGATCCAGATGCAGAACAACAGGCATTATTTAATACGGTTCATAATATTCCATTTATCGATATTGATAGTTTAACATCATTGGTTGGATATGATGATATATATGAGATGCCACCTCAAATTGAGGTTTTAATTGAATTATTCATTAAATAAACATTTTAAATCATATTTCATCAATTAATTATATCATTTATAATATTAATTTATTTTGCATTGTTTATTAAAAAACAATAAAATTTTTTTTTCTTTAAGATTAACGATGAAACAAAACATATGCTGGCAACAACCGAAGTACGCCATCGACCATTGCTAACAATTGCTCAACAAGTTACACCACAAAATCATTCATTAAAAGGCATTTATAATATAATAAATGCTGTACATAAAAAAAGTTTGGGAAGACTTAAAAAACAACAACGTAAAAGTGAATGTAAATCAAAATCTGAAAATCGTGCACGAAAGGTTAATTTTTTTTAAGTTTTTAAGTTTTATATTTTAAGTTTACTAATATGAATATGAAATGGCTAAAGTAATATTATAAAATGATTTAATAAAAATTTAATCAAACACTATAAAATTTAATATTAAAATATATTTCATTTTAAGTCTTTAAGTTTTAAATTTTAAGTTTATTAATACATATATTATATGGATAAAGTAATATTATGAAACGAATTAATGAAAATTAAATCAAGCACTATAAAATTTATTATTAAAGTATTATATATAAAGTATTATATATAAATTTAAGTATTATATATAAATTTATTAAATTTATTAACATTAATGTTATGATATTAAGTCTTTAAGTATTATATATAAATTTATTAAATTTATTAATATAAATGTTATGATGCTAAATTGATGAAAATTTAATCAATCATCATAAAATGTAGTATTAAATTAAAATTCAGTATTAAATTATAACTTCTTTTGTTTTTTTCATTATTTTCAGGCATTACGTACAATAACATTTATTCTTGGAACATTTACAATTCTTTGGACACCATTTTATGTCTTAGCAACAATAATGGGATTTTGTGATTCATGTAAAAATTCAAAAATATTCAATTTCTTTTATTGCATTAGCTATTTTCTATGCTATATGAATAGTCCAATTAATCCATTTTGCTATGCTATGGCTAATCAACAATTCAAGAAAACACTTTTACGTATTTTAAGTTTTGATTTTAAAAAATCATAGCAAATAATGGGAATTAATTCGAATTTCATTTTCTCCTTAAATTTCTTTCAATTTTTGATTTATTAGAATTTTTGACGAAAATTAAATCTTTTGATAAAAGAAGTATTAATTAATTAATTTATATATGTATAAATTATATATATAATTTATACATATGCAAAATACTAAATGTCTAAATTGAGTAAAATTATGTGCAAATTAATTCAGTCATTTTAGATATATATGTGTTTCAGTATTTAAGTATTTAAGTATCAAGTAACATGTGAAATAAATTTACACATGTATAAATTATATGTGTATATATATAATTTATACATGTATAATAAACTAAACACTTAAATTGAGGAAAATTATGTGCAAATTAATTGAGTCATTTTAGATATATATGTATTTCATTATTTAAGTATTGAAGTACTAAGTAACATATTAAATAAATTATTACAAAAGTAATTTTTGTTTTGATGAAATGATATCATTTGAAAAAAAGATAATTAGTTTATTTTAATTTTTTTTGTTTTAAATTTATTTATAAAATTTATAAAAGCCAACGCAGTAGTGGTGCTTTCTTCTTTTCTTCCATTTATCATATTTTTACTTTTTGAATTGAATTATTGAAATGTATAATTGCTTATTTTTAAATCATATCAATTGATTATTATTTTATTCATTAATGATAATTAAGGATAATTAGTTCGAAATAAAAAATGAACAGAAATAGAAAAATCTCTGAACGATTTTTTGATTTTCCATTTCCTTTTGAATATGGATTTATTGGAATGTATGATTGCATGTTTTCAAATCTTATCAATGATTATCATTTCATTCATTAGTTGATAATTAGTTCATATTATATTTCATTCATTAGTTGATAATTAGTTCATATTATAATAATTTTATAATATGAACTAATTGAATACGAAACTTTGCAAGATTTTTGAATGAATAGTTAAAACAAGAAAATATTGTAATAATTATATCGATAATGTTAACAATATCTAAGCGTCAAAAGTCAAAGGTCAGAAAAAAAGTTCAAAATTATTTGTATTAAAATTTATTTGATTTTTTTTTTGTGGTAGAAGAAGAGAAAAAGGAAAAAGAGATAAAATAATATTGTACAAATTGACGAATAGACTATAAGGAAATTATAAGTTTTATTCAATTTCTACTTTCGATATCATTTTCATTTTCCATTTCCGATATTCATTTCCATTCCTAATTTGCATTTCTTTTTCCTCCTCTTTTTCTTTTTGAAATATTTCATTAAAATAAAATTAGCATTTTTGATAAATGTGGAAAAAAACGACGAAACATTTCATCATTTACAACAAATGTAATAAATAAACTTTAATAGCATTTTGCTAATAATAATTTTTATTCATTTATCAAAATAATTTGTTGTATGAAATTATTGAAAATAAATTTTTTAACTTTTTAAATTATTGTCCATTTTTTGAGTGAGGATTGTAAAATGATTCAAAAGATTTAATTAATTAAAAATAATTCATTTAATTAATTTCTTCTAATAAATTGGTAATAAAGCTAACTGTGTGTATCATCAATGTGCTCATTTTTTTTTTTTAGATATGTATATTTTCTTTTAATTAATTTATTGTTTGTTTTGTCTTTTATAATGTATGTTATATTTTGCTATCATATATATTTTATGTTCATAATAATAATTATTGAATAAATGCTAATTAATTTGCAATTTTACTAACAAATTTTTTTTTTCAATATTTTATTTAATTTCAAATATTTATTACAAATATTTTATTTAATTACAAATATTTATTTCATTATTTATTTTAAAATTTATTAAAATATTTTTCACTTTTTCTTTTTTCAATAAAATTCAATTATAATGCATTTAATATTATTTGAATGCTTAGGAAATGATGTATTAGAATTGAAATATCAGAAATATCAGAAATGAATTACAATTATTATTATTATTATTATTATTGGATAATAGTAATTTTAGGCAGAAATAAAGATGAAATAATTCGAAGTTTAAAGAGGGTGAAAGAAAAAAAGTGGAAAATAACGAAGAAGTAAACAAGAATTGTCTTTTGGGAAATAAGTGAGAAGGGAGGATATTCAAGTTTAGTTGAAGTATCAAAAAATGAAATCACAAGGGAAATGGGCCAGAAAATGAATTAACTATTAGTTGTTGTATATTTATTTTTTTGAGTGGAAAGAAAATCGTTAAATATTAGGACTGAAATGATGTCATTGCATTGATATGAAGTTAGACTGAAATAAATTTGCTAAAACATTCGAAATATTTTGCATTTATTAAGCAAGCGCAAAATTATCATTAACTATTGACAAATTATTTCATATTTCAAAGCTTCATTCTTTTGATCAATTGTTACCTGAAAATAAATTATATTACAAGTATATTATAGCATTTTGCATATAAGAAATATATATTGTGTAGTGGAAGGAAATTTGTAAGCGATTAAAATAAATGAATTGAATCCTTCTCTTCCTCTTCCTCTTCCTTCTCCTTCTCCTCCTCCTTAACGTATCACATCCATTTTCAATAATTTATTTGCTTTAATTTTAAAAAGTTTTTGAAATGTCTTTAATTTCATCCATTATAAATGCATGAAAATTAGGCTGCTAGAATCATTGCAAGAAATTTACTCTGTTGTACTTCAAAATACTGAATTTCCTATTTAAATTTTTATTACCAAATGGTGGAAAATAAGAGAAATAAAATGAAAATTTCAACATTGAATGAAATTTTAATTTTAATAATCAAATGGTAAAATAAAAGAAACAATAAATTAATAGATTTTGATATGAAGGATTGTAATTTCATGATGAACAGAAAATCCGGAAAATATTGGTTTCTCATTGCTTTTCCTTTGACCGGAAAGTATTTTGTCTACACTATGTATCCTAAAATATCCTTATGTATTTACAAAATAAAATTGAAATTTGAAATGTTATTAATACCACATGTGGTAATAAAACAAACACATTCTTCTCATGTCAATTGAAGAGATTGTAAAAAATAAAATCAAGATCTATCTGATATCAAAAATATGAATGTTAAAAACAGGTCATCAGTATCCAGTAATAGCCAGCAGGAATTATCGATATTAACATAACCCTTATTACACTCCTACTTTTATTCGTTCCATTGACATTCTCGTCGGATATGAAATACTTCATGATCTTTTAACGATAATTAATCAATGGGAATGAAGTGACTTGAAATGATTAATGGATAACTAAAAAAGTGGAAGATGTAAGAAATGATTAAATTTTATAATATATCAAAATTTTAACTAATCGAATTTGGCCTTTACAAGAGTTTATAAAATTGACAAAATATAGATGATTATCAAATTAAATTTGATTCATTCTATCATTTATTTTCATTACTTTCAAATTAAATTTATTATACGGTACTAATTATAGGGAGAAATAGGAATCTAATCAGCTTTTACTTCTTGTATTTTTCCTCTGAAATTTCATTCTAGAAATCAAAAATTTTTATTTCTGATTCTCTGAAAGCAATTTTTTATTGTAGAACAAGGTATTTGAAAATGATCAACCGGAACCACACCATTTATTGGCTTAAAGATGTGAAAAATATCAAAAGGCACAATGAATTGTATAAACAAGGCAAATTCATCATTTATGCTCGTCCAACTGTAATGAGTAACATGATAAGATGAAAATCTCAATACTGTCATTGTATGGAAGGAAAAAAGAATTATAATTACAAATGGTGCAAGTGGAAATAATAATTAAATAATTATAATTATAGACAGAAGAAGGGTTGGATGATGAATTTCCGGCAATAAAATTTAATTATCCTTTAATCAATAAATAATTTCGGTTAATGATGCCATATTGCATGCATGGTACTTTGAATATAAAGGAAGTACCCTCTATATAAAGAATATCTTCTTGTTTTGCCTTATATAAAAGTAATAACAGAGAATCTGATATGGACTGCTTGTATGATAACTGGAGTTGTGAATTACAGAGGCCGTATATATTATACATATGTAGAATATCCATAAATCATCAATCGGGTCAGAATACAAATTCTCCAAAGCATCCCAGAAACCTATTCCGGAAAAGTCTCCTTACATCATTACCTTGCAAATTCCCAATTCAATCAACATATGTCACTTCGATTCAAACCACTGAATTTTGCTTAAATGCAAATTCGTTATGTGGTGGTAGGAGTTATTTAAAATTCGTAAAGATTTTCGAAATTCATGAATTCATCAGTAAATTCTCGATAGCTTTTAGAAGAGATTATTTTAGATTTAGCCTATTTCATAACAAATTCAGATGCCAAAAATTATCATTGGTGACGGCGAATGGAAAACGGTTGGTATTTCTGGTGAATGTATCGTTGACGAGAAGTTCAGTTTTCTTTCATCATTCGAAGAATATATACCAACCGAAGAATCTAAGAATGCAAGCAATACAATGGTTTTTCTTTCTTAATCTTTTTCTCCTTTTTATTAAATTATGCAATATATATTATACAGTGTAGAGAAAAGATGTTAAAACGAATTTCAAATGTAAAGGTAGCATTTTTTGATGATTCAAATCATCGAAGTTTAATGCTCTTTTGAAGATTACGAATTTTGAAATTGTTGGATTGCGTAATAATTGAATTGCTTAGTTATGATAAAGTGATAGGAAAATATTGATTTTTTCATCATACTGATTTTGTCTCATTTATTTATTTTACCTATTTCTATATCCAGTCCATTAATCTTTTTAACTTGAAAGATTGTAGAAGAAGAAGAAGAAAGCAAAAAAAAGAAGAGCAAATGATGCACTAGATAAATCAGGAACAAATGATCACAAAAAGATGAGGAAGAATGAGAAAAAGAAAAAGTTGGAGAAATCGGATGAAGTTACGAATTCACAGCAGGTTGGTTTATATGTATAAGAAGATTAAACTTATGTTGGGAGGATTTTGAAATGAAGAGACTTATCACGGGTGTCAATTTTCATTTTATGCATAAAATCATCACTCTAATTTCGGAATCTATAGTGTTCATTCGTAAAACTATTTCCACTGTTTTTCACAGTAACCGCTTTAATGAGTAAGATATGGCGATATTTTCTGACCCAGTTGTACTTCATTTAATAGTACTTTTAATTTGAGCATCAATCAGATCAGGTTAGAGATTATGTAATAGATCAGTACCAGTGAACGATAGATATAAATTTGATAAAAGTTCAAAAGATAAAAGAATATTTAAAAAATATGATAGTTCACTATTTTTGCTTTTGTAGGTTACCAATGTGAAGAATGAAGAAGCAAATGGTGATACTGAAAAAGCGATAAGTTTTAGCCATAAAGAAATTGAATGTGGTAATGTTTCTTTAAATATTTCATTTTTTTTTCTGCGCTTTTCTTCTACTATTTTTTTGCACTTTTCTTCCTTTTTTTTCATTAGAGTTTAAGAAAACTTTCGTGTAATTATTTTAATATGCTATTATTTCAAGAACATAATTGCAGATGAACTGGATGAAAGGAAAAATGAGGTTGCAGGCACATCGAATTGGATAAATCTTTGTGTTTCTAACACAGTTTTGAGAGCTATCGCTGATATGGGGTATCTTTTGTTCATTTGTGAACTTCATTGTATTGTAGAACAGTTGCTGGCCTTTTTAAAATGTTTTGTATAATGATAATGTGAAATTTATAGATTTACTGAACCTACGGAAATACAGAAACTTGTTATACCAAGCGCTATCAGAGATCGCCTTGATATCATTGGAGCTGCAGAAACGGTAAAATTTGACGTTTTATAGCTTTTGAATAGTTCACAGAAAGAGAAATTTTCTTAATTCATAAAAAGTTCCTCTGTTTTGTGTAGGTTAAAATTGCTTCTTTCAAATCTTCATTTTAAAGGTTCTATCGGTTTACTGTGTAACTAAAAATTTAGAGTAGTAGTGATATCATGATATATTGTCTGTACAATAGTTATAAATTCCTTTGTTTATGTAATAACTTACTTTAAACCTCGAAACTGTTGCAGAATGATATATTTATAGGGGAGTGGAAAAACGTTGGCATTTGGTGTGCCTGTTGTTGAGCATCTTTTAACAAACCAATCATCTCTCAAAAGTGAGCAAATAAAGAGTATTCGAGCTCTCATCCTTGCACCGACTCGTGAATTGGTGATGCAAATTAAGCATCACATGCATGCTTTGCTAAAATATACTCCATTCAAAGTAACTATTGCTTTATATTTGTAAATTAAGGGCTGCAGCATTCATGAAATTTCATCTCCATCCATTCTTATGTTTCCAAAACGAAGTAACTAAAGTTAGTAACTGAATTATCATCTAGTAAACCCATTGTCGAGTTGGACATTACTGAGATCAAAGAATTCAAGAGAAAATAATTATTCCGATAGACATTGGGATGTACTATATAAATTAATTAGGCAGTTTTGTGCTTCTATAATAGGAAAATTCGTCTCCCTCGAAAGAACCATTCCATTTGTTCCTGAAATAGCCTTCAGCTCCTGTTCTTTGACCTGTATCATCCAATCTGTGACTACTTCTGCTTCTGAGACGCAGTATATAACCGGATGCATTGAACTTTTCGTGCTACTGTTTATCTGTATATCACTTTTACATCAAAGAAAATTGAGTAACTTGCAGAAGAGAGCTTTTAAGTTGTCTTCGTTTTTTTTTTCCATTTTATAGATCGCGTCTATAGTGGGTGGTCTTTCGCTGCAAAAACAAGAGCGTATATTAAAATATGTTCCTGAAATTATTATTGCAACGCCAGGACGACTTTTGGCCTTGATGACATCTGCCGAAGCCGACAGCTGTCTCTCTGACTGGTCCCACTTACAATGTCTAGTGGTCGATGAAACAGATCGTATGATAGAAAAAGGACATTTTGAAGACCTGCAGCATATTTTAGATACCATAAAGAAGTAAGTATATAAATTTTTATATTGAAATATTCTTGAAGCAATGTTTTCATTGTTGCAAATAAACTGCAGGTTAAAAGATAAAAAATGGTCTCATTTCTGGAGTATATCTTACTTACGGAATTGCTTGACTTGTTATTCGGTTTACCCAATGTTTCTTTCTGTAGTAAGGCAATTGAAAGCCACGGCATTATTAACGCCTAATTATGTCTCTTCCAAAAAGTACTCAAGCTCAGTCTAAGAAGCTCCATGGTATAAATGCTGTTAAAAATGATGGATTTACAGGAATACATGTAAAAAGCTCCAAACTTTTGTTTTTTCTGCAACTCTTACATATATTCAACCTCAATCCAAGAAGCTCGATGATATAAATGCTGTTAAAATTAGTAGAGATGAAAAAATCGGTAAGTTCTTTCCAGTTGTATAATTTTGTTCTTAATCTTCGAAATTTCGAATTTTGTGCAAAAATGTTCTTTAATAATCTATTATAAATTTAATGAATAGATTTTTTTTCTTCATTTTCAGGACAGTAGAGTTTATTTAACCTGTCTGAGATTTTTACTTTTTTTGTCGTTTGTCAGAAGTTTGATCAACGGTAGTATGACTCGCCTTTTAGTAGAGAAGAGTGCATAAAATGCTGTGTGTTATTTTCCATTTCAGAGTTTATTATGTCTTTAGTTTCTGTTGATATTTTTTTCTCACCTAAATAATGATATAATGATAGCATTCAATTAAGCGATGCTAATAACAGAAGAATCGATATCGGGCATATAAGCTGTAGATTTTTAATTGCGGTTTAACATTATCGTTGCTAAGACTATGAGTACTAAGCTTCTTTTGCATTGTTATCTTATTTACTTGTTATTAAGGTATTCACGAGGCAGTTTCTTTTTTTTTACTCTGTTTGTTTTTCTTCGCATGATTTCTTTCCTTGTTCTTTAGACAGATTGATTGAAATAACTGGAATACGAAGGGAAAAGCACAAAATTTTTGATATTACTGGCGAAAGAGGTACAGCGAAGACAGTTGTAGAAGCGCGAATAAATTGCGAAAATTTATTGGAAAAGGTATCGTTCGTTACGGATTACTATCTGCTCTGATTGTCCCTTCACAATTATTTCTTGTATATTTGCTGTTTCAGGATACTAGTCTTCTGTATCTATTGAATCGTTACGTTGGACGCACATTGGTATTCACCAATTCAGTCGATGCATCGAGAAGGTTACATGGGATTTTAAAACAGGTAAGGCGGAAGTTTTTTTTGACATATGATTTCGAAACATATATAATATTAAAAAAAAGAATATTTTTAAAGAAGTGATACAAACCGTGACATGTAGTCTTTCTTTACTTTTAGCTGCATTACTCTGTTTTGGTTGTTTTTCAGCTTCAGCACAAACCTGTTCCATTGATGTTGCATGCGAAAATGATCCAAAAAAAACGTTTAAAAAACTTGGAAAAGTTTACTGGTATGCTTTTATTTCATTTTTTTTTTTGATTTAGTCATTAGTTTAAATTTGTGCTTGCAGTTGTGGAATTTTCATCACTCTTTCTAGAACGAAGAAATTTTGAGTTTTTAGAGGAGGAAAATTCTATTTTGTTCGCAACTGATGTAGCTGCACGTGGTTTGGATATTCGAGATGTTCAGCATGTCATTCATTATCAAGTACCAAAAACTGCTGAGGTAAATGTTAAAATTGAACGAATGATAATTTTAATTAAGCTATACTGTACACAATGTAATATCTTAAATATGTCATGGAACTAACACAGTTTCAAGTATTTGATGCTTTGTTCGGTTCTGATTGGCAATATGTCTGAAATGGGTTACATATCATCACTTTTTTAAGTTTAGTAGTTGTGCACTGATTTCTCGAGCAAATGAACATTGATTAATTCTTACATTCCTTCGATAAATATTACATATACATTATAGATTTATATCCATCGGTGTGGTCGAACAGCACGAGCAATGAAAGAAGGACTTGCAATTTTACTTATTGATTCCCAAGATGTTCCTTATTACCAAAGAATATGCCGAAATTTGAATAGAGGTTAGTGTTCGCTATTTCAATTCTATTATAGTATCTTATACTTGTGTTGGTTTTGGAAATTTTCGTAAGTAAATAATCAGGAAATCAGATATTGGGATATTACTTTGCTCTTTCAGTTCTACATCTTTCTATTAATGCTTGAATTTCTTTAAGCAAGTTTTTAAAATTTCCTTTTGGAAAGGATATCAAAAGTATTAACAGAGAGAAAATGGGTATTATAATCATCAAGAGGATAACTAGAAATTAATTTCAATAAATGATTTATAGAATTTTTATTTGTTCAGTTAGAGCTTAAGAACGTTTACAGTTCCATATATTTTAAAGAAAAACAGCAAATTTTGATAGCCTTAATCAAATGTAATGAAATTGGCAGCGACCTCAAATTACACTATTTTCTACTAAATCGTTTCAATGTTGTTGCAATATCTAAAATATAAAGATATCAAAATGGTTTTATTGGGATATCAACAAAATTAATGAAAGGATCTTTGAATTTCAGAAAAAGGATTTCCCATATTTCCACTTGATTCACCTGATCTCTATGGCATTTTGAAAAAGCGAGTTAAAGTAGCAACAGCAGTGGAAGCGTTAGATCATCGTTTGAAAAAGGTGAGAATTAACAAAAGAAATTTTCAAACATTTTCAGTAATATCCATATCATATTTTACTCATTATTCAAATATATAGCCGCTCTTCTTTTCCATCAGTTTTTGACCTAATCGCTTTCATGAATTTGTAGATACAGTCCAAACAATCATGGTTTGAGAAAGCAGCTGCAAGTGCAGATTTGGAATTAGACGGGAGGTTGGTTGCATTTTTTCTCTTTTGAATGGTGCTGTAACTTAACTTTTTGTTCAAGTTCAAGAAGTTTGTTTTATGGTTATAATGAATCTTAAAATAATATTTACTGATCAAATTTCTTTCATGAAAAGATGTTTTTAAGACGCTGATCCTGGTAAAGGTAAAAGTTTGAATTGTTATTTGTAAGTTTTTATTAATGATTGTTGAAATTGTTAGTTCCTCACGTTTGTGAAAGAGTTGCTTTCCGATTAATGTTAAGCAATCAGTCTTTTCAGTTATCGGATTCAGCAGTTAACGATATTTATTCTGATTTAGAAGAAAGGTGTCTTGATATCGATTTCTATTTTAGTGGATACAAAGAGAAAGCTACAACAGAAATGATTGAAAATCTGCGAAGAGAGAAAAAAGCATTGTCGTTTCAGTTGAATCATTTATTGTCACAGTCATTGCCAGCCAATTACATTCATGTCAAGGTAAGAGAAGATACCTTTTTTCTTTTATAAACAAGAAAGCTCTCATTACTCCTTAGGTGGTGTAGTTGCTTTCATTGTGATCCTTAATATCGGGTAGTGTTTGAGCTATTTTTATGTTATTTATTTTCATTCAGATCGTAGTTATTAAGGCTTAATTCTACTTTTGCAGTTGCTTATTTATTGAGTATTTAATTTGTCTCTGTGAGTCGATAAGACAAAAAAACACGACATTCCATCGAAACATGACATGGAAGATGACATTCCATCGTCTGAGATGTATTGCGGAAACTAGTCAATGTCGTTGATGAGGATATTGATAAACACTCTTTTGATTTCATTTTAAATTGATGATCACACTTCAATGAAAGTTTGCATCAGGAAAATAAGTCTGAATTTCTTTTTACCTCCTCTTCCTTTTCTTTCTTTCCTCATTATTTTTTTGCTTCTGATTCATCACCATAATGTTTTTCAATTTTGAAAAGTTAATTCGGACTCATATGCATTCATATTTTGCGGAACTATGCATTCTGTTTATTCCATGCTTATTCCTCTGCATATTCCAGAGACTCTTTAAAATAAAATCAGCAATTCGACAAAAATTCCTCAAAATGCAAATATTTAATTTTAACTTATTTTTCGGTTTTTCCTTTCCAGAAAACTCGTTATGTAACTGCAGAAATAGCGTCGAATTACGGAAAGTCATCGACACAAAATGCAATTGCATCATTGACTGAAAATATGGCGCATGAGGAAGCGTTGAAGAAGAAATGTAGGAGTGTTTTTGTGCGTCATCTCAATACTACAAAGAGGAAGAAGAAAAAGAAGATAAAAAGATGATATTTTGACAATATATTTTTCGATTTTGTTCAGAACAAGAAATAGATGGCATTATTTTATCATTTTTTTATTTTACGTCATATCTTTTTGAAAAGCACTGTTGATTTTTGCCAAGGATTTTCATACTTTATATCGGATTTTCATATTTTTATTAATTTACGTTAGCTGAATTTTAGGGTTGACTGCTTCTAGAAATCGTTAGTATCATCATTTATTTATTTAATGTCGATTATATGGCAAATCCCTTATTCTTGATGATATTCCACAATAGATGCCTAATGAATAGGCTTGATTGGCATCACGGTGACATGTACATCAGTAAACATTGCATAAAATGCTTGACAACATTCTATGATTTTAAAAAATCGGATAAAATGAAAAAAAAAAAGTAAAAGATTGACAAAGTTCTACGATTTTTTTAAAGGACCGGATAAAAATGAAAAAAGTATAATCTGAACTTTTTTCTTGGAATAATATCTAAGATTGATACTTTATGGATTGGGTTGTTGATTTTATTCATTCAGATTCCAGGTTTAAATTGTTGATTTAATTGTATCTCAAATTTGAAATGTTATGTTAATGCAAAAAGAAAAAACGTAGGTCATTTTTTTGTTTGCTCCCTATATTAATTAACACCTATGATTAATTACGCATATTTTATGTTGTTTTCTTTTTGCAAAAATTCTTAGGTGAATAAAAAGGAAGTTTTCTCTTTGTAGAAATTCGATCTGTATTCTCAATTTTTTGGAATTCAAAATATTGAAAAGTATGACTGTGATGATAAATGCAAATGAAATGGATAGATTAAAAGAAATATATAAGTGAAGCGGTGGAAACAAATATGAGAGGAAGAGAACGGAATGAATTTGTAGCTGGTGGTGTATGATTGCTAAAAATGTGACAAGTTGATAGAGCGGAGACGGATGTGAAAATGGTAACTGTATGATAGAGTGGTGATTAACTAAGTGATAAGATATCATTGGGGAAAATATTAGAGAATACATGTATAATGAAATAGGGAAAACATGCACAGCTGACATATGTATAATTACTTATATATATATATAATTTACAGAATTCTACTTTATATTTATTTTTCATGAAATTTAAATTTGAAAAGTAAAAATGTAGAAGATAGCAGCAAATTTGCTTACTGAAGATTTCCTCATTTGTAATTGATAAAAATGGAAGATATGTGGTGATAAAATGATAATAAGATAATACCAATGAGGAAAATGATTAAGATTGGTGATTAAGTAAAAACTAGTTTAAAGGAAAAAGTAGTAGTTTTTCTTTTTGTTTATCAAGAAGATTGATAGATTTTCGTAGGTGTTCAAACGAATAATTTTTAAAATGAACGGATTTAAAATTCAACAAAAGTTCAAAACAATTCCCGCCTTATAATTAATGATTTACAGCCATTGATTCGATATTTTTGTAACATTCATTTTACTGCTTTCTTAACTAATTCAAATTCAAAAACTTATGTTCCGGAAAATCTAATGCCAAACAAAATACGTATAATTTATATTTTTCACTTATATTTGTTGTGAAATTTCTTGGAAAATAAAATAGAATAAATTTAGTAATGAACAAACTATCTTTTCTTTAATTTGTTCAATTCTCCGTTTTTCTTTACATTTAATAAATAAATTAATTTATAGTATATTTCAATTTTATGTAGTAATTTGTAATAGTATTTTAACATTCAATAAATAATTTATAGTACATTTCAATTTTATGTAATAATTATTCGGCAAAATAAAAGAATGAATGAAAAAGTATAAATAAATGTGAAAATAGTATAAATAAATGTAAAAATTATTGTTATTATCAAATTTCATTTTATCATTAAATTTTTAAATCTTTAAAAACAAATAATAATATAATTGAAATTTAAATTTCAAATTGCATTTTCTTTTTACCGCTTACTTTTCTTTTCATTGTTTTAAATGTTTTCATAAATATGTGCGAAATTTTTACAACAACAATTTTTCCATTTAATTCCATTTTATATAAAATAATAAAATTGATGAATGAAAGGGAAGAAAGATCTCTGTGAAAATTGTTTGTTTTCTTTTTGATGGAAAAAATAAATAAATAAATAAAATTCAAATAAAATAAATTCATCGATTAGTATTCGTATGGTATCTTTTTGTGTTGTATGTTTTGTATAAAGGAAGAAATATCACATAAATTGTTGTTATCAAATTAAAATTATCCTTGAGAAAGTGAAATAGCACTTGAATGAAATCATTATTTGACGATCATTTAAAATTTTCAATTTTTTTTGTCGATAAATTTCTTAAAAGGATTTATTATCGAAATTTGTCATTACAACTATTAGTCTGTTAGTAATAATTCATAATAATAATAATTATTATATTAATTAACTATTAGTGACAGCTTCGGGAGCATTCGGAATTTCTCCATAAATTTGATATAAATTTCGGATGCAAAAAATATTTTATGCTTTTTTTCTGTTTTTCAATTAGGATTTTCCATTTCTTTGCTTTAGATTTTAATAAAATTCTCCCTGAATTTCTTAAATTATTAAATTATATATATATGTGATACCTTAGATATAATATAAAGTGATATGATATATGTATGAATGATATGATAATTTTAGATTCCTCTTTAATAAAATGATATAATTACATTGAATGCATTTGTTTTATTACAGATTAAAAAACATAAGATTTTAAATTTTTGAAAAGATTATTTAAAAATTTTTAAGATAAAAAGAACAAAGAAAAAATCAATATAAATAGACGGTATAATTGAATGTGATATTACAGGTATTATTATTATATATGGTAATATAGGTATTATTATATTATGTGTATATATTATGTGGTAACATTATATAGTATTCATAAATGGTATTATAGTATTACTGATTACTATATTATTTATATATGTGGTATTATTATATGGTATTAATAGATGGTATCATACTATTATTATTATATATATAGTACTGTATATATGGTATAGTATTATATTATGCATTATATATTATTATTTATATGTTATATTATTGTATGGTATTAATAGATGCTATCATACTATTATTGATTATTATTATATTATATATACCGTACTGCTATATGGTATTATAGTATTATTGTTTCTTATTATATTATGCATTATTATATAATATGTATATATGTGGTGGTATTATATGATATTAATAGATGATATTATAGAATGTTAATGGATGTGAGAAAAGTAGAAGTTAAAATAATAATGTCTGTTTGTTAAATGTGGCACCAAAAGATGTAATAAATAGTGGAGGTAAGAGAAAAAAAAAAGCTAATTATTTAAGTTGTTATTGAAATTAAAGTGGTGAAAATGAAGAAAGAATGGGATGAATGGATGAGAAAGAGGAAGTGAAAAGAAAAAGCTTTTGTTTTCAATTTTAAATTAATGTTACCACTATTGCGGTCATTATATCATCATTAATTACTGTTAATATTACAACAATAATAGCGGCAATCGTTAGTACTATTGCAGCCACAATAAATAACAACAACAATATGACAATCGTTACTACTATTGCAGCCATAATAAGTAGCAATAATTACTACTATTATAACTATTATTTGTAATTATTATAATATGGTAGCAATTTATTATGATTAAATAATTAGCATGAAATAAAATAATACTTTATATATGACATATTTGATAAAAATTTAATTTCAATATTATATGCAAATCTTTCTTTTCAACTTGAAATTTAAAATTCAATTTTATTTATTACTATTATTTTTTTTTATTCATTTATATTATTTTAAAATATCATCGCTCTTTTTCCCCTTTTTTCTTTGAGTTAATTTAAATATTTTATAACAATTATTTTATATAATATCATTCAGGCTAAATTAACATTCAGGAATAATTCCGAATAGTTTTATGTCTGATTCAATAATAATCAAACATAGACATTTGATTTATCATCATGAAAATTTTCTGTTTACTGATTGTTAACAAATTATAATGATCATTAGTCTGAAGTAGTGTATAGTTAACGGATACGATAATATCTGTGAATTTTTTAAAATAGCTATTATAACAATTATTCATGAGAATCAAGATTTCATACGGGAAAAAATTAAATGTCACAATGGATTGACACTTATAAAATAGCCTTCGTTTTCCTCTCTCCCTCTTTCCCTCTCTCTCTTCCAAAATATCTAATTTTGAATCTCTCGTGAACTTTATATTCTATCCGAATTAAATCATAGTCATTTCTCGTTATTCTTGAGGGACATGCATAATCGAAACATCTTTTATGATTTATCGTCGGCATCTTAAATGACATTCGTTTGAAAATCTTTGACCATTTTTTTCCCCCTCTCTCTCTCTCTCTCTCCTTTTCTTTTCATTCCCTCTATAATACTTTCGTCTTCTTTTCATTCCCTCTATAATGCTCTCCTTTTCTTTTCATTCCTTCTATAATTGCTCTCCTTTTCTTTTCATTCCTTCTATAATGGTCTCTTCATTCTCTCTATAATGCTCTCTTCTTCTTTTCATTCCCTCTATAATGGTCTTCTCTTCTTTTCATTCCCTCTATAATGCTCTCCTCTTCTTTTCATTCCCTCTATAATGGTCTCCTCTTTTTTTCATTCACTCTATAATAGTCTCTTCTTCTTTTCATTCCCTCTATAATGGTCTTCTCTTCTTTTCATTCCCTCTATAATGCTCTCCTCTTCTTTTCATTCCCTCTATAATGGTCTCCTCTTTTTTTCATTCACTCTATAATAGTCTCTTCTTCTTTTCATTCCCTCTATAATGATTAGCCATTCGGCAACAGTTCAAAAAAATATGAAGGAAATTAGAAGGTTGATTAAAATGATGGAATTGATAGGATCTCAATTGAAGTTTTTGGACAACCTCGTCGAATATAACTCATATTGTTATCATAAATTTTCATTTCCAATATCAATCTCTCGTATTCTTAATTGTTCATTTCAGTATATGATTTATTTATT